GATCTTTGAGATTCTTTCCAGCTCAGATGACTCTAAGATTCTTAAAACAGTTTCTTATGAAAAGTACCCTGTATTTTAGGGCCATGGCTATGGATATGTTGGGAAGATAGAGTTTGTGGCTCCTGATTCGAAGGCCATCAGTTCATCTGTGGAAAACTTAGGGAACACATGGAGGGAATGAGGCTCTTCAATGTCCTGAGGCCCTTTGCTAGCTCGGAAGTACCACAGGAGTAAGACAAGGTGCCTGCCCTTACACCCTGGGTAGGGGGGCCGAGCGTTGGTGTCCATATGAATAAGCAGTGACTACAAAGTAGAGTCCCAGAGGAAAGAGGGAGTCTTAGTTGGAGGATGTAAAGCTTGGACTGGATTTTAAAGCTAAGTGGTTTGCCAGGCTTTTGGTGCTGGAGCAGCCTGAATAGAGGTAGCGGCATAAAGGAAGGCATGGGAGTGAGTGAGACTGACCGTGCAGTTTATACCTGCCGATTCTAAAGCCCGGGGCAGGCATTGAGTAAATGGAAACTGGTAGCAAATAGATTATTGCTGGAGTATTTGGAGTGGAGAAGCTGGAGAGAGGATTTTGTAAACAGGATACCTCTATGCTGAACACGTTGAGCATCACTGTGATATAACCTTGCTTATTTTATTTTATGTATTTATGTAGTTTTTTGGGGGGACTGAGTCTCACCCAGGCTGTCACCTAGGCTGTCACCCAGGCTGGAGTGTAGTGGCGCCATCTCAGCTCACTGCCACTTCCGCCTCCTGGGTTCAAGCGATTCTCCTGCATTAGCCTCCCAAGTAGCTGGGACTACAGGTGCCCACCACCACGGCCAGCTATTTTTTGTATTTTTAGTAGAGACGGGATTTTACCATATTGGCCAGGTTGGTCTCTAACTCCTGACCTCAAGCGATCTGCCCACCTCGGCCTCCCAAAGTGCTGGGATTACAGGCGTGAGCTACTGCACCTGGCCCCCACTAATTTTAAATCCATGTAATCAATATTTACTAATCCTTTAATCTAGTGCTTATCCCCTCTGAAGGATAGTTTTGTTGAGCTTTACTTTCTGTAGTTAGAATGATAAAATCAATAAGAACATACTGAATATATTCTTCCCATTGACTTCACAACTTAACCCTGCTCCTACCTGCCACCTAACACAGGATCCTATTAGGCTCTCTTGAAGACTTACTTGTCCAAAATATAACTTTAAAGTGAATGACAGAATCACAGGACTGAAATAAGAATTACTGGACTGCAAACTTCTTTTCACTGCTCAGTATCACCTAAAGCAGTCAGCACAGTTTCCTACACACAGCAGGAGCTCAGCGTCTAATTAAATTTAATTTGAGATAAATTGAAATCAGCACACAAATCAAAAAGGAGCAGGGATCCTATTCAGAGCTTCCTGATGGATTGTGCTCAGGCTTTTTGCACACAACAAACCTGAATGGCTGGAAAGCATGGAGCAGCTGCAGCACACTTCAGGAGAATGCCACAGTTCACACCCCTGATACTGGAGAGAAGCCATTCAGCTGCCAGGAGGAGATCCCCTCTTCACACTATGTCCGAGCTGTTCTATGAGCCACCAGAGACTCAGTTATTATTACTGTAGTTGACTGCTCCATGAGTTGATGGTCAAATTACATTAACAATTATGGAAAATAGTGTAACACTAAAGAATTATTAAATAGTTCATATGCATTGCTAATCTCCCACCATTATACAGAGTAAAAGACCAGATAAGATAGACAGTTGGTAGCTGCAGGTTTATCTGCTTATTTTTGGTGGGAAGATTTTTTCCCCCTAAAATCTACCATTAATTTATTCATTGACTAAATGTTTATACCCACTATGACTCAAATGCTGGGCTGGCCTCTAGGTTTGAACTGCAAAAAAGATCAACCTTGTCCCTTGCCCTTATATGAAGCTTAAAATTTAGAAGTTTGAAACTTCAAAAATGTAAAGTATTTTGATGGCTAAGGGCAAGATGCTCTTGGAGTGAGTGTATGTGCAGGGAACAAACCTAGTCCAGGCAGGTTCTCTAAGGTTCCTTAGGTTCTCTAAGGAAATAATAAGTTAGGTGACAACTGAATATTAATGTGAGTTAACAGAGGGAGGGAGAGAGGAAAGTGTGGGAGGGATTTCAGGCCAAAGAAATAACCAATTCTTATAAGTTAGCTCTTACTAAATTGAAAAATCAAGACAATATCTAAAAGAAAAAGGATATTCTAAGTGGAGAAGGCAAAAGTGAGATTTCAGACTTGATCAACCTCATTCCTTTTCCTGCGAATTTTGCCCTCTTGTGGCAGTTAGCTGTCAATGAACATACTTTGTCAACAGGTTTCCTTAGATTCCTGGTACTACTTTTTGAACTGGAGGTCTTTGCTTTAGAAAAGGACTATTACATTGGTTTCCAAGTTTTGTTCAGAGGCACACCATTGATAATCTGCTTCCCACATGTGCCCGTATTTTGAAAGGGTTCTGTCAAACAAAGATACACTGTTTTTTTTTTGTTGTTGTTTGTTTGTTTTTTGAGAGATGGTCTCACTCTGTCACCAGGCTGGAGTGCAGTGGCATGATCATGGCTCGCTGCAGCCTCAACTTTCCAAGCTCAGATGATCCTCTCACTTCAGCCTCCTGAGTAGCTGGGACTGCAGCGCATGTCACCGTGCCTGGCTAATTTTTAAAAAATCTTTTGTAGAGATGGAGTCTTGCTATATTGCCCAGCTGGTCTTGAACTCCTGAGCTCCAGCAGGCCTCCCACCTCTGTCTGCCAAAGTGCTGGGATTACAGGCATGAACCACCGGGCCATGTCCGATACACTTCCTTTTCCTTTTTTTTTTTTTTTCCTCTAACTGGATTATCTTGGTTACATTATTAAGTTGATATAATTCTATATAAAAGCAAATAAATTTGTTTTTGTGTTTTATTTGGCCTTGTAAACTCTAGCTCTGCCTTAATAAAGCTGTCTTGCCTCTCTGTGGGACCATTTCCTCATCTGAAAATGGAAATGATAAAGTAGATATAACAGCACCTACTTTTAAGTAACTCTGAGGAAAAATGAGCTGTTAAGAGGGTACTTAGTAAATGTTTATTCCTTTTCTAGCCTTCTCATGGGCAAAAGTTTGGTTTTAGTAAGCTTACTAACCCCCATTCATATCGCTGAGCTCCCCACCCCCGAGTTTAACCCTAATCTACTTCAACCTTCTTATTTTATACATGAAGAAACTAACAGCTAAGAGGAAGGAAGTGACCTCATTTCTGCCCTTCATCTTAATTTGTATATCAGCTTACTTACAGTCATTATATAAAGAAAAAAACAGTGAAAATAAGGGCTTAATTTGTGTATCAGCTTATTTGCAGTCATTATTAAAAACAAAAACAAACAAACAAACAAAAAAACAGTGAAAATAAAGGCCAGTGCCTCCCAGAAATAAAAAGAAGCCCACTGTGGCAGAAGAGTGAGCAAGAGGGAGAAGGCCGTGCAATTAGGTTGAACAGGTAGGCCAGGCTCAGACCACACAGCGCCCTCTGGGCAATTTTAACTATTGTTTTAGTCCGTGTTCTATGGGCATGAGCATAAATAATGTCAATGTTATCAGTTAAAATTTGGAAACATCTAACAACTGCATTTAAAATTTTTCATCCATATGTTTGTAATAGTCAAATCACAGGTTTAAAGTTGTAAACTCTTATTGTGCAAGCTGACAACAAGAAATTAATCTGTTTCCAGTGAAGACCAGAATCTAAAACAATGGGCTTAAGTAGACAAAAGAAATTTACATTGGATATGGAGGGCAATTCTTAACTAAATGTTATGTGATACTGGCCATGTTACTGAGGCTTTTCTATCCCAGAAAAGCGTATCTAGGCAGCAATATTCTCGGATCGTTATGAATCTGAGGGCTTTAAAACCATGGTCCATGCAAGATGAAGATTTAAACCATCTAAAGACCTTTTAAAACATATTTTAGATATTGGAGTTCCAGTTTGATTTCCTTTTTAAAAAATTCTGGGGAAAATGGGTACAGAGTTTGAAAACAGCTGGATGTAGAGTATCTTCCATACGAGCTATAAGTCAGTGGTGTGATTCTAAAACATAATTTTGTCTTATATTTATCTTATATTTGTCCTTTTCAGATCTCTCTCTTGTGCTCCAGAACCCTGTATTTAACAGTCATTAGACACCTCTACTTCTTATCCCACAGACTTTACATTCTAAAACTTGATTTAGTCTTTTTCCTTCTAACTGCTCCTTCTAGCCGAGTGAATGTAACCACCACCATTTATCTGTTAGCCCAAACTAGAAACTGGGGAGTCAATTTTGATCTTTTCCTTTATCTCCATGCTTACCAGCCATCTATCTTATGGATTCCACCTCCTCAGAACCACTTGAATTAATTAACTAATTAATTAACTCTTCTCGTCCACTTCTGTTACAGTTGCCCACCCTAGATCCTCAACAGGGTTACTGCACCTGCTTCCTGAGTGACTGCTCTGTCTAGTCTAGACTGCTTCCAATCCGTCTTCTGTATTGCTCTCCACCAAGTGAGCTTTCCAAATACAATTCTGATCATGGCACTCCCTCTTTAAATGCTTTCATTGTTTCCCAAGTTCGTGAAAAGTCCACACTCCTTAGGATGGTGTGCAAAATGCTTCACCCTCTCTCTCTAGCATCCTTCCTCCCACTCCATTTCCCTTAATTTTTAAACCTAGCTATGCAAACTTCAGGCACTTTGTCAGATGTGCCAGGTCCTCTCTCACTGTTGCCATGCTGCTCTCTTGGCCCAGAATGTCCCTGCTTTCCTTTCCTCACCTTCATGATTGAACTCAGTTATTAGTTCTTCCAAGAAGCCTTCCCCCAGCTTCTCTACCCTAGCCTGAGTTAGGTGCCCATACTTTGAAAAGGACTGTGTAATCGTATTTTGCAGTTTACAAAGTTCTTTTACATATATAATTATTTAATTATTGCAAAAGGCTAGATTGAGTAGACTTATATCCCTTTTATAGATGACACACATAATCATTTAATTCTTTTCTGAAGGCTAGATGGGGCAGGTTAACATCCACTTTATAGGCAAGGCTCGGGGAACTGACATCCAAGGCCAGGTGGCTGGTTAGTGACAGAGCTGGGTTATGGTCCGAGACTGTGGCGTTGGTCTTCTGACTTCGAATGCAGTGCCCTTTTCTGTCTAGCCCACTGAAACAGAGTCAGAGGAGAAAGTAGAGGACGCACACTCCAGAGTGCAGCAGGCCGCCACGGAAACAGAGAAATCATCCTGCCCCCTTCCACCTCCCCCTGTTCACTCTGATCTAGCCTAGCAGGAAACCTTTTCATGTAGCACAGCATTTCAGGCTGAGCAATGCATTTTTAAACTCTGAAAAATGTCATTTCTCCTGACATTTCTGGAAGTACTTCCAAAAATGAAAGCCAATTAACCAGCAACTTTGTTGATTAATTCATTACCTAATTAGGGCTGTGAGGACATTTTGAAATAGATGAAAGAGGTTGGATAAGAGCAGTAAGAACAGAATGGTTTCTTGATGTTCCAGGCTCTGTGGCTTGGGGCCTGGGGAAAAGTGTATATTCAGGACAGAAAATGAAGGGGGAGACTTTTCTCTGAGAACAGATTTTAGTGGTCTGATTGAGTTGGCAACATGAAAGCCTGTGGGCGGATAAAGACTAAGAAGAACTCACATCTGCTTCCAAGATTTGCCCTGTGGACTAAATTGTGCCCTCTCCCTACCCAATCCATATGTTGAAGACCTAACCCCCTATGGGACTGTATTAGAGTTGGGGCTTTTAGGAGGTAATTAAATGAGGTCATAAGGGTGGAGTCCTAATATGACAGGATTGATGGCTTTATAAGAAGAGGAAGAGAGAGATTGCTCACTCCCGTATCCCGGTGGCCGGGCGTGGTGGCTCACGCCTGTAATCCCAGAACTTTGGGAGGCCAAGCTGGTTGGATCACCTGAGGTCAGGAGATCGAGACCAGCCTGGCAAAAATGGCAAAACCCCGTCTCTACTAAAAATACAAAAATCAGCTGGGTGTGGTGGCGGGTGCCTGTAATCCCAGCTACTCAGGAGGCTGAGGCAGGAGAATTGCTTGAACCCAGGAGGCAGAGGTTACAGTGAGCCAAGATTGTGCCACTGCACTACAGCCTGGGGGCAGGGTGAGACTCTGTCTCAAAAAAAAAAAAAAAGAAAAGAAGAGGAAGAGAGAGATTGCTCACTGCCGCTCCCATGCACCAAGGAAAGACCATGTCGGCACACGGTGAGGTGTCCACTGCAAGCCAGGAAGAGAGCTCTTACCAGGAACCCAAGCAGCTGGGCCTTGATCTTCAACTTCCAGACTCCAGAGCTGTGAAAACAATAAATTTCTGTTGTTTAAGCCACCTACTGCACGGTACTTTGTTATGGTAGCCCAAGCCCACTAAAATAGTTGCTATGACCACCTCAACCCTGGTACACTAAGAACAGATAGTTCAGTATAGGACTCAAATGGAAAAGCTAGATGGATTTCTGCCCACCCTTGCTTTGTGCCCACATTTAGGGGAGAAGACAGAAGGTTTCAGTGCCTTATTTGCTAGTGGGTGTCCTTCTCTTGACTTCTGTCTTTTTACATTTATTGCATTTAGATAACTAATTATTTATTCCTTAATGTGTCAGGTTTCTAATTTTTTTTTTTTTTTGAGACTGAGTCTTGTTCTGTTGCCCAGGCTGGAGTGCAGTGGTGTGATCTCGACTCACTGCAACCTGGGTCTCCCTGGTTCAAGCGATTCTTCTGCCTCAGCCTCCCAAGTAGCTGGGATTACAGGCACTCCTGGTCTCAAGTGATCTGCCTGCCTCGGCCTCCCAAAGTTCTGGGATTACAGGCATGAGCCACTGCGCCTAGCTTGTTCTAAACATTTTACACATATAAACTATTCCATTTAGCTTGAAACCTCAATTACAGGGCATGCCTAACACTGATGCTCCATGTTACATAGTAGACTCAAGGTAACATTCATTTGCTTTGACTGCCAAACATTATTTAGAAAACTCAAGAGAAGGAGGCCAGGTGCAGTGGCTCACACCTGTAATGGGAAGCCAAGGCGGGTGTATTGCTTGAGGTCAGGAGTTCGAGACCAGCCTGGCCAACATGGTGAAACCCTGTCTCTACTAAAAATACAAAAATTAGCCGGGCATGGTGGCACACGCCTGTAGTCCCAGCTACTTGGGAGGCTGAGGCAGGAGAATCACTTGAACCCGGGTGGTGGAGGTTGCAGTGAGGTTAAATCGCGCCACTGCACTCCAAGCTCTGTCTCAAAAAAAAAAAAAAAAAAAAAAAAAAAAGGAAAGTCTATTTTATTTACCCATACTTTTGCTCTTTCAATTTTTTACTTTTCCTCCCTGATGTTCCAAAATTCTTCTTTTTATCATTTCCTTTCTATCTCAAGAGCATCTTTAAGGGTAGATTTACTATTGACAAATTCTCTTAGTTTTCTTTCATATGATAATGTCTTGATTTCCCCTTAATTTCTAAAGGATATTTTCACTGGATGTAGAATTCTGGGTTTACAGTTCCGTGCAGTTCCTTGCAGTTCCTTGAAACAATGCTGTGCTACTCCCTTCTGACCATCCCGGTGTCTGAGGGGCAATCTGCTGCCATTTTTTTTTTTTTCTCCTGTGGATAAAGTGGTGTTTCTCATTATTTTTGAGATTTTTTTTCTTTGTCTTTAGTTTTCAGGAGTTTGACTGATATGTCTTGGCATATTTCCATTAGGTTTATACTATTCAGAGTTAGCTTCTTGAATCTATTTTTATGTCTTTTGCTGAATTTGGGAAGTTTTTGGCCATTATTTTGTTGAATACTTTTTTAAGCCTTACCTTGTGTCTTTTCTCTTTCTGCGACTCCAATGGCATAGTATTAGATTTTTTGGGTTATAGTTACATAGGACTCTGAGGCTGCAGTTATTTTTATCCAGTCTGTTTTTTCTCCATTTCCCAGAGATTGGGTAATTTCTCAGATTGGGTTATTTTTATTATCCTAACTTCAACTTCACTGATTCTTTACTCTGTTCTTCCCATTTTCCATTGAGCTCATCCATTGAGTTTTTCATTTGTATCTTTTAGTTCTAAAATGTTCACTTGATTCTTCTTTACGTCTTATATTACTTTGCTGAGATTTTCTATATTTTTGTTTTGTTTTACATGCATCCATGTTTGCTCACTGAAACATTTTTATGATAGCTGCTTTAAAATCCTCACCAGATAATTCCAACATTTGTGTCCTCTCAGTGTTGGCTTCTGTTGATGGTCTTTTCTTATTCAAGTTGAGATTTTCCTGATTCATTGTTTAGTGATTTTCTAGTGTGTTCTAAACATATTGAGTATTGTGTTGTGAGAACCAGATTCTTTTTGAAATCCTTTGTTTCAGCAGGCCCTCTCTGGCACTGCACTAGTGGGAGAAGGAGGACGCTGTCTTGGTACTGCCAAGTGGGGATGGAAGTCCAGCTTCCCCCTTGGCTTCTGTTGACACCCCAGGGAGGCAGTTCCTCGTTACTTCAGAACAGGTGTGGAAGTTCATGCTCCCTGCATCGCCTTCTCTGACACCATCCCAGTGGGTGAGAGGGGTCACCTTGTTACAGCCACGTTGCTAAAATTGGAAGTCTAGGCTTTGCACTAGCTCTTGGCCAGTGGAGGTGGAGCTGCAGTGTTTTCTGTGGGGTTTGATTGGTGTTTTAATTTGTATTTTAGTTCTAAAATTTCTACTTGGTTCTTCTTTAAAAGTTAGAGTCTAAATATTTTCTGTCTTTCTAGGCTGCCCCTTTCCTGTTCCTTTGGCTAGAGAGAAGAGGCTTTTAGGGGACCTCTTTTTGTCTATGCCCATTAGTGTTTGTGGGCTGCCCGCCTGTTCAGCTCCAAGTCTGGGATATAGGAGGCAAAAACAAAACAAAAATAAAAAAATAAAAAAATAAAAAAACCCAGGGAGCCCATCCCTGTGTTGTTCCTCAGGTCTCAAGGTCCCTAGCCAGTCTCCCCTTTTCTCCACCTTTCAGATTATTGTTTTGTTATATATCTCCAGGGATTTTAGTTTTACTTGGTGGAGGAATAGGAAGAAGTGAGTCTATTGTATCTTGTCCAGAACCAGAAGTCCTTTTTGTCAACTTTTGAAGAAGATCTTAGAAGATACATTCCCATCACCCTGACAAAGTCTTCATGGAGTGGACAGTTGCAGTAGCACTTCTGAAGTGGTTAGAAGCGAGCTCATTATAGGTTTGATATTGTTAAATCCTTACAGCAACCTTTTGAGGCAGGGATTATTATACTCATCTAACATAAACGAAAACTGAGGTTAAGGTAAAGGGAGGAGAGTGGGTCCTTTGCAGTACATAATAAAGCCAAAAGATAAACTTCCTTACCACCATCTTTTCCACTCTCTGAAAGCCACCATCTTTGCACTTCACTGAGCAAAGTAAGCTGTCATGCTTGGGTTTTCCTCAGCTTCCTTTCCAGTTTACTTGCACCTCTCTTTGCTTCACTACTAGAGAAAGAGGTGCCAGTCTTTCTCTCCCAAAATGTCTCTACTTGCTCCAAATCTCATTCCCCCTCTAGGACCTCACTTTCAAACCTTTTACCCCTCTCATGTCTTTAATCTCTTCCTCTTGATTTTTCCCCTTATGCTACAAAAATGATGAGGACCCTACCATCCCCAAAACATTGTTCTCTGACCCTTCCTTCCTGTAAGCCCGAGTGCCACCGCCTTCTGCCTGTCTGCTGAATCATTTGGCAAACACAGTCAGTGTCTCCACCTTCTACCTCTTGCATCTCAGCACACTGCCGTGTCATGCCGGCTCCTGGTCCCACAGCCATGCCAAATGCTCTCTGTGAGGACAAGTGACCTGCATCCAGGCCTCAGGCTAAGGGTCTTCTTCCTTCGTCTAGGTACCTACTCTATCAGACTCAGGTGGGGAGTTTCTAAAAACGCCCACATTGTGACCTCACCTGTTGATTCTGATATAGAGGGCTGAGGTAGAAGTCCGAATCTACTTTAATCTCCTAAGGTGATTCTGATGCATAGCAGGCTTGGACTTCGTTGCTGCATCTGACTCCTCAGGGCTCCTTCCTCGGCCTTGAGGACCTCACAGCTCCTCCTTCATCTGTGCCCATGCTAGGCTGGATGGGAGGACAGACTGGGAAATTTCCAAGTCCTTGCTCACCAGGACTGACTCAGCTAATAGTAACAACTGTAAACAGAGTATAAAGACTTATGTAATGTTTACTATTTGTCTGGCATTTTGCTAAGTACTTTACACTTACTTGACCTAACCTGGCCAGAGAAGATTATCCTTCCTTTGCCTGAAGGCCTCGTACTAACCCCACCTGAGGGTGATGCTTCTTATCCTCAACACCCGCCCCACCACCCTCTTTGCTTCTGGATTCATAACTAGAGTCAGAACCCAGTGTGGATAAGTGATCAGTCTGACCCAGATAGACATAGCTTATCCATAAAAAGAACAGAACAGCTTGGCCAATTAATATCAGCAACAACAGAATGATACATGTGAGAAAGGATTCTAAATATGATAGTTCAATTAGGATGGAATATAATGTTAAATTGGGAAAATTCTACCAGTATTATGCCAGTACCTGAGATTCTGAATTAAATGCCTAGCTGCATCAATGGGGGGTGGCTCTAACATTTATTTGCCTGGCCAGCTAAAACCTGGGTCCAACAGTGAACTACAGTCAATAAAATTGAGATGCGAAGACCTCCCTGGCATAATCTACATTAGAAGGAATCTAAGAACTTCAAGAAGCCGGAATTACGGGGTATATTTTATGTGATCCACTGCTATGGACTGAATAGTTGAATAGTGTCTCCTCCAACTCCACATTCGTATGCTGAAGCCCTAACTCCAAATGTGACTGTATTTGGAGTAAGGAAGTAAGTGATATCATAAGGGTGGGACCCTGATCCAATATGATTAGTGTCCTTATAAAAGGAAATGCTGGAAAAATTACTGTCTGTCTACCTTGTGAGGACACAGCAAGAAGGCAACTGTCTATAAACCAGGAAGAGAGTCCTCTCCAGAAAGCAAATGGGCTGGCACCTTGATCTTAGACTTCCAGCCTCCTGAACTGTGAGGAATTAACTTCTGTTGTTGGAGCTACCCAGTCTATGGTATTGTATTATGCCAGCCTGAGCCGACTAAGACAAGCACCTACTTATAACCATTGTGTCTGGACTGTGGCTCTCTCTCGTTTCAAACACTGGCAGATTTCTATCCACATTTAATTTGCAGTAAATGGATTGAACTTTCATCTGTTGATATTTTTGCCTCTTGTTCCTTTTGCTATTTGGGTTGATAAGTTTTGTAAATATTTACACCTTTATTTTAGTTGGATTCTGGGAGATAAGGAAGTTGAACATAGTTTTCCACCTGCCCTCTTTACCAAACCACAATTTTTGATACTGTAGCTTTTTATTATTACAGAGACCACATTAGATATTTAAACAGAGAGGAATTTATGTGGGGAATTGGTTACAAATGAGTTGAAAGTGCTGGAAGAGCCAAAAGGAAGGCGTGATATCCAGGAATCCAGAAGCTGCTCCCCACTCCTATGCTGCAGATGCTGGGATGGGCCACAGGAGTTCAGAGGGCCCTTCCCACAGCCACTAAGCAACTACCTGGTATTTGAGCCACGAGCAGGAAGTATATGTCTTCTTCAGTTCTGATCTCCTGCTCATGCCTTTTATTGTTAGAACCTGATGATTCTAGCTGTCAATCTAGGAAATATAGATTTTGGACTCCCAGTTCCAGTAGTAGAGGAAAAGGGAAAAAATGGATATGGGCTAGGTTACAACAAAAATAGCTCATGTAGTCTACTTCTTTAGCAGCTCAGCATTGCTACATACCTTACTACCTATATGCAAAATTGTATACAACAAAAATAACAGAACATCATACTTCTTCCAGTATGATGCAGCCATACTTGGTGGGGGAGTTGCTGTCATTCTCATCCCCCAAAGGGGAAACACAGAGTCATATTAGTCACCATAACGATGTCTGGGTATTAATTCCTTTTCTGATTCACTTAAAATCCCACCTGAACATTCTATGGCCCCAAAAGTAATGAAGATTATTACCAAAACTACTTAATAAATAATAAGAAAAAAGGAAGGAAAATGCTTGCTTTGCACACACCATAAAATGATGCTTTATTTTATAGTTTTCATTTATGCAACTAGTCTTGAAGCTATGGTCAATAGTTTTGATTTTCTTCCTTCACTACCCTCTCCTACATTCTCTTTGCTATTGGCTAGTACTTCAGCTGGTTGAGATTCTACTTAACACAGTGGTAACCCAAACCTGCAATGTTGAAGGGTTTGAATTCTCAATGATCCTGCTTTTATTGAAAGGCCATAGTTTTCCATTAACATTCAAACATTAACTTTATTAAAGCATAACTTATATAAATAATATGCACTCATTTAGTGTAGAGCTCTATAAGATTTGAAAAATGAACATAACTCAAGTAACCACCACTGTAAAATCAAATATAGAACACTTCCATCACTCCAGAAAGTCTCTCATGCCCTTTTGCAGTGATGCCTCATCTGAGTAACAGTCAAATGCTGGTTTGCTTGTTAAAGTTTTTCATATAAATAGGATGACACAGGATGTACTATTTGGGTCCTGGCTTCTTATACTCAGCAAAATGTTTTTGAGATGCATCTGTGTTGTTACGCATATAGTAGTTCATTCCTTTTTATTTTGAGTAATATACCATTGTAAAGATGTACCACCTGCTGTTGGGCATTTGTATGGTTTCTACTTTGGGGCATGTACCGGTTATCAATTTATTGCCTCATGGCTGTGGATTTGCCCTAAGAGTGCCTTTTCCCTGTTAATGGCCTGGATTTCCCTTTTACAGTGAGCAAAATGTTAAACATTGTCAGCAGAGGGCGCTAGAGAAACATTGCAAGAGAAAGGGGGCTCTTCTTGGTACTCCTGTGTGCTATGTTCTGCCTTTTCTTGTTTTTGCACATCCTCTAGCACTGCAGATACCCAGTGGCACTGCACCCAGCCATGCACCCAGAGTGTGTCGTCCCTTGGCAACCTTGCTGCCTTGGGTCAAGCCTAGAGACCACTTTGCCTTGGGCCTCCCCACATGAACACCGTGCACCAGAAGCTGTGTACTGTCCTGTCAGTGAGCAGGCAAGCTCAGAAGGCTATTTTGTGCTGCCCTGGGACAGTCAACCAGTGCTGGCCATGCAGCCCAGCAAAATCCTGTGCCATCAAGTAAATAAGCTGCAACCACACTTCAACAACAGTGTCTAAATCCCATTCTTGGGGAAAGGGGGCCCTGTTCTTTCTGTACATACCATATGCAAGATCATATATATCACGTTTTTTTTTTTCCCTGTACCACAGTTTGTTTATCCAGCCCTAAGATACTGGTTAGAGCTTTCTTTACATCTTTACAGTACTCGCTGAATCACAGTTTAATAATTCTTTATACTCTACTTCCCTTGCTTACTGTACAGTGACTCCTCTCCTGAATCACGGCCAACTGCTGGTTTGCCTGTTAGTTTGCTTGGTCCAAACTGATACAGAATTGGTTCTGAGACTGATCTCAGGAAAGAGACCTGTGAACATGGAGTCTGAGGATGGGTTGGGTCCTGCCCTTGTGCTCATATGCAGTGCTGAGCTCCTTGCTACTGGGAAATGGGAGGCTAGTAACTCAGCAGCATCCGCATGGTTGATTGTGAGCCAAGTGGCTGCTGTGTTTGACCATTATGACAGTAATGATAACTGTAAGGGCTGTGGTGTAAGATGAATTCTTCTGGGTACACTGAGCTCTTGCAGAGAGAAAAGGAGAAGCTCAGGCCTGTTAACTTTCAATTCAAGTCATCTCTGATAACCAGAGAGCTTCCATGACAGCCCCCAAAAGTCTCTATTTCTTATAGCCACAACACTGCTGAAAACCAAACACAAAATTTAGTTATGCACGTTTCTGAATTACAGTGACAGTAAATTCACAGTCTTGCCATGTTTCTCACTTGAAAGTTAGGGTATTGATCAGGAAAGAATGGGATCTTGAAAGGTGGATTAGAGAAATCTGATTGGACCCAGATGAAACTGACAATATTGAACCCACAAATCATTTTGAGCCTCCCTCAAAATGGGTTTGCCCTCTGCTGTCCAAGGAGACAGCTTCTTCTGCTTAAAGGTGGCAACTTCACCTGGGACAGTTGTCTCAAAAAGGGATACTCATCCTTCTCATACTCACCACAGCCATTCCCTGTTGCCACTAGATCTATAAATCAGGTCAGATCTCAGCATGATCTATGGGAATAGGTACACACTATGACCCAGGAGGACAGAGCTCAAACACTGAAAGACTTTCTAGGCTTCACTGATACATATCAGTAGAAACTTGGAGAACATGTGTGGAAATTGTTTCTAAGGGTGTTAGACTAAGGAAGATAGCATATAACACCAGATAAACTGAATTCATTGACAAGGGTGCACTTACTAAAGAGTTTGAATTTATTGTCTTACTGGAGGCGGCTCTAACAGCTTACCTGGTTGAGTGACTGAAATGTGGGCTTAACACTGGCTTACATTAGGTGAGGTTGAGATGCTAGTGCTTCCCTGGCATTATGTGAAGGAGGGAATCCAAAGGCTTAGGGAGATAAAAATGTTGGACTGGTCTTATCATGTGTGACCTGCATACCTGCTCCCAAACTGTTCCACAGGAGGGCCCAGAAGACATTCCCTTCACTAAGACATTGGGAAATACATGAGAGTGAGGAGTACCTGAGTTGGGAAAAGTGCACTGTGGTCGGCCAGGTATGACTGTAGCAAATTCTTATTGAGATGGGCTCCTTGATTTCAACTGGAATTATGAGATTCCGGAGTAGAGGAGGACATGTAACAGCACTTAGCCATCAAAAACAAGATGGGTATATTTATCAAAAAAGGCGGCAGAAATGTACTAATAATCAGAATGCTTTGGCTTGCAGAACCCATTAGTGGTGGCTCATTGATCTTGGTGTGCCTAGGAATAAAATAGATGGGTCACCTACTACAGTGTGGCCTGATCTATAGGAAAGGAAAAACTCTAGATCTTTAGCCAAAAACCTGACTTGAGAGGCCACAGTGGAGAGTCCTGGCCTCTTACCTAGTTTCCAAACTTGTTTCCAAACTTAGTTTCCTAAGTCAGTTCACAGACCTTGAGGTCCTTGATTGAAGGGGAGACTTGATTCCCTTGAGAAAAGACAGCCCTTCACTGTTGCTCCAGGTTTGTACCATACCTTTACCTCCAAGCCTTCCCTAAAGAGACCTGTGGGCCATTTACTAAAGTGACTGTGCATTGGAGAACAAGAAATGCCCAGACCTTTTAGGGAAAGCTGGAAACTGGCTCTGAATTAGGGCTAATTCCTAGGGATTCAAAATACCACTGTGGTCAGCAAGTCAAAGTAGAGGCTTATGATGGTAAGATGATAGATGGAGTCTGACGTTTCACTAACAGTGGGCCAGATTAGTCCACAGACCCACCCTGCAGTTGTTTCCCAGCTCCCAAATGTAGAGAGATCTGTAAGTCAGGACAGATCTCAGCACAATCTATGGAAATAGGCATACACTACAGAACAGACATACATGGAACAGACACACATGGCAACTGGCACATTCCCACATTGGTTCTCTGACCCATGCAGTGAAGATCACTATGGTAGGAAAGGCTAAGTGGAAGCACCTGGAACTTCCCTATCAGGATAGTAAACCAGAAGAAGTGCTGCATTCCTAGGAGAGCTGCAGAAGTAAATGCCACCATCAAAGCCTTGAAACAAGCAGAGGTGGTGATAGCTATAATATCTCCCATTTAACTTACCAGTTTAGCCTGTGCAGAAGCCAGATGACACAGACTGTCATAAATGTAACCCATGGGAATTCCAATTTCAGCTGCTGTCTCAGATGTAACGTCTTTATTGGGGCAAGTCAACACAGCCTCTGACAGTTGGTATGCAACTATTGACCTGGCTAATGCATTTTTCTCCACATCAGTTTGTGAGGACCACCAGAAGTGGTTTGCTGTTACCCAACAGAGCCAATAGTGTGCCTTTACGGTGTTGCCATAGGCTACATTAGTTCTGCTGCTCTCTGCCGTAATATAGTCTAAGTGATCTTGATTGTCTTGACATTCCATGAAATATCACACTGGCTCAATCTACTGATGACATTATGCTGATGGATCTAACGAATAAGAAGTGGCAAGTTCTTTAGATGTCTTAGTAAGATGTATGTAAACCAGAGGGTAGTAGATACACCCCACAGAAATTCAGGTGGTGAGAAGGGCCTGTCACCTCAGATAAATTTCTGGGGATTCAATAGTCTGAAGCATGTTGGGATATCCTGTCTCTGGTATGTGACAAATTGCTGCACCTTGAAGCTATTAGACACACACAAATATGAGGCACCATGATAGTTTTATGTCAACTTGATTGGGGTACCCAGATATTTGGTTAAACATTATTCTGAGTGTGTCTGTGACAGTGTTTCTGGATGAGATTCCCCTTTGAATTGTTAGATTAAGTAAAGCAGATAGCCCTCCCAACGTGAGTGGGCCACATCCAATCCATTTAAGGCCTGAATAGAACAAAAACTTGGGCAAGAAAATAATTTGTTCTCTCTGGCTGTCTAAGTTGGAACATTGGTCTCCTGCCTTCAGACAGACTTGAACTAGAACATACACCATCAACTCTTCTGGTTCTCAGGCGTTCAGACTTCAACTGGAACTCTACCACTAGCTCTCCTGGGTCTCCAGCTTGTAGAGGGAAAATCTTGTGACCTCTCAGCTTCTATAATAGTGTGAGCCAATTCCTTATAATAAATCTGTCTCTCTATCTGTATTTCTACCATATCTATCTTATTGGTTCTATTTCTCTGGAGAACCTTGACTAATATAGGCATTGCATTTGTTAGGTCTTTGGGGACTTTGGGAGGTGATAAATATCACATTTAAGTGTGCTATTTTGACCTGTCTACGCAATCACATGAAAATCTTTCAGTTTCAAGTGGGGCCCAGAACAAGAGAAAGCTCTGCAGCAAGTTCAGGCTGCAGGGCAAGCTGCTCTACCACTTGGTCCTGTGATCCAGCAGAGACTGTGATAGTTGAAGTGTCAGTGCCAAATAGAATTGCTTTGTGGAGCCTCTCACAAGCACCAGTAGAACAGTACAGTAGACAGTGAAGACCTCTAGGATTCTGGAGTCAGTGAAGACCTCTAGAATTCTGGAGTAAATCTATTATTCTGTTTTTGAGAAAGTGCTTCTGATTTGCTACTGGGCCTCCATAGAGACTGAATACTTAACCATGGAACATAAGGTAACCATGTAACCTGACCTTTCCATCATGAATTGATGTTGTCTGATCTACCTAGTCATAAGACTTAGTGTACAGAGCAGCATTCTATTATTGAATGGAAATGGCATATAAGAAACCAAACTCAGGTAGTTCTGGAAAGTACAAGTAAGTGACATGAACAGATGGCTCAGACTCCTTCTATCTCAACTGCTAGGGACTCAAAATGCATTTTCTTCTGTTGCATTGTCTTCTGTCCCTTAACACATGTCTTTGGCTTCCCATAATGTTTCTTACAACCAGTTAACCAAGAAAGAAGAATTCGAGCCTGGGTTACTGCCCACAGATTAATTTTTGCACCACACTAAAAGGTGATCATGGAGGACAGCTGATATGCTTTGAAAGTTTGTCCCCTCCAAATCTCATGTCAAAATGTGAATCCCAGTGTTGGAGATGGGTGGTAATTAGATTATTGGGGGGGATACCTCATGAATAGTTTAGCACCATTCCCTTGGTGATAAGTGAGTTCTTGCTCAGTTAGTTCACACTAAATCTGGTTGTTTAAAAGAGTCTAGGACCTCTCCCTTCTCTCTCTTGCTTCCACTCTCACCATATGATTTTCTGGCTTCCCATCATCTTCCACCATGATTATGAGCTTCCTGAGGCCCTCACCAGAGCAGATGCCAGCACCATGCTTCCTGAGCAGCCTACAGAATTGTGAGCTGGTTAAATTTCTTTAATCTATAAATGACCCAGCCTCAAGTAGTCCTTTATAGTGATTGAAGAGCAGACTAACACAACATTGTGAAAGGAAATTGTCCCCGTAGGCAGAACTTTGAGCAGTTATTTTGGTTATGAGAGGGGGAAAGAGATGGCTGGAAGTACAAATCTAAACTGATTCATGATAAGTAATGGTTTGCTTGAGTGGGCAGGCACTTGCAAGGAACAGGATTGGAGGACTGGCAATAAAGAAATCGAGGGAAAAGGTATGTGGACAGACTTCTTTGATCAGGCACAGAATGTGAAGATATATTTGTGTGCCAGGTGAATGACCACCAAAGGGACATTCACTGAAGAGGAGGCTTCTAACCAAGTGAAAAAAAATGACTTGTTCTGTAGATGTCAGTCAGCCTCTTTCCCAAACCACTTCAGCGCTTGCCCAATGGCCCATAAACAAGTCGTCATGGTGGCCAGGTGGAGATTATGTATGGACTCAACAACACAAACTCTCCCTGCCAAGGGTGATCTGGCTGATACTACTACTGATGAGTGTTTAACTTGCCAACGGACGGAACAACATTGAGCCCTGGTAAGTCTCCATAGCCACCTGGTGTTAG